ACAATATTATCAATTCGAGGTAGGGGATAGCTATCCTTAGGGTATGCTTTGTTCAAATCTGTGAAGTCGATGGAAACTCGTCACTTCCCATTAGCTTTCTTGACAAGAATATTGTTGGCAAGCCAATCGGGATACTAAACTTCTCGAATAAATTTTGCGTTAATGAGCTTCGTAATTTCCTCTCGTATGGCTTCCTGCCACTCTGGAGTAAATTGCCTCCTTCTTTACTTCACTGGCTTTGCATCTGTGTTTATGTTGAGCTTGTGCACCGTTACTTCAGGGTCAATTCTAGGCATGTCCTCGAAACTCCAAGCGAATACATCGATGTTACGGGAAAGACAACTGATTAGTTTGGCCTTAGTCATAGCATTAAGATCTCGACCAATGGTAACTTTTTTGCCAGGCTCGACCTCATCCATCTCTTCTACCGGGGTAAGCTTTCCATGATATTCGAGGTCTAGCTCGACCTCGAAAAGTTGCATGACGTCAGCACTGATTTCCCAGACACTGGTAACATAGCACTGTCTTGCTATGGTTTGACTTCCTCGGACTACCCTGACCTCATTACTAGTAGGAAATTTCATTGTCAGGTGAAAAGTTGAGACAATCACCTTGATCCTTTTCAGTAAGGGCCTTCCAAGTATGGCGTTGTAGGCCATAGGAGCACGAACTACTTGAAAGGTTGTGATCTGCGTGACCTGCCTCCCTTTTGATCCCAAGGTGAGAGGTAATCCAACAATGCCTTCTGGAATGACGACACCACCTCCAAAACCCTGAAGGAGGGTTTTGACCGGCTTGATCCGTTCAGCTGAAATACCTTTCTGGACGAAAGCCTCATGTGATAGTACGTTAGCTATGCTTCCATTATCCACCAGAATTCTCATTATCTCAAAATTAGCAATGATCACCGATATAACCAAGACGTCGTCATGAGGAAAAGACATGCTATCTAAGTCCTTTTATCTGAAGGTGATGTCTTCTATACTACCAAGTTCCATGCTCGAGATTGAGGGGTACTGTCTGGCGTACTGCTTACGCCAACTATTGGAGTCCCCTCCCGATGCCGTCCCTCCGACAATGATATTGATAGTACTTGCAGTTGGTTGCTTATCTCCCATATCGTCAGGATTCTTATCCTTATTCTGGCTATTCCGCTGACGGTTGTCATTGCTAACGTAAGCGCCCAAAAAACCACTCTTGATGAGAGCCTCGATTTTCCTCTTCAGGGCGAAGCATCCTTCGGTCATATGTCCATGATCTCGATGAAAGTCGCAGTACTTGCTTTTGTCACTGGCCTCGAGAGGAGCCCGTAGTCGAGGAGCCACTTCAACTCTTTAAGGTCTTTGATCTCCATCAAAATGTTAGATCTTGTGGTATTCAAACGAATGAATGATGTTGGAGGGGGGTCTTGTCCTGGCTTGCTTCAAAACTGATCCAGATGCTGGTTAGACTCATGTGGCCTCTTTAGGTCGGGTTTGTTTAATGGCAGGGCATCTCTTCTTGGAAACATGGTCTCTTCCATGTTGATGTATTTCTCAGCCCAGATTAGTAGGTCGGTTATCGATTTGGGAGGGGTCTTTGACGGAGACATCTTAAACTCCTCACATCTTACGGCATATGTTAGGGTGGAGACTGCAGCTGTGATGTGTAGATCGGGGATCATAAGTCTTTCCTTATTAAACCTTGTCATGAAATTGCGAAGTGTCTCATTGGGTCCCTGACGCATCTGCATGAGTGACTTGGTTGTCTTCCTGATGCGCTTACTACTTGCAAAGAACACGGAGAACTTGTCAGGCAGGTCTGAAAAGAAAGATATAGAGTTAGGCTCCAATGTGGAGAACCAGTCCCTGGCTGCGTTGGTAAGTGTCTGAGGAAAGGCCTTACACATTACAGCGTCGGGTGCGACCTGGAAGTTCATGATATCCGTGTATATATTGAGATGGTTGATGGGGTCAGTCGTCCCATCATACTCTTTCACCCGCGAGTACTTAAATCGATCTGGTAGAAGGTATGATAATACTTCAGGGGTAAAAGGTGTGTTAGGGGTGAATCTTGTTGCTGCCTAAGACTTCTGGAGCATTCCAACTGTGATTACCTCTTAGATGATCCGTGCAAGATCAGCCGAGTCCATAGTAATCGATCTCGAACCTAAGGGGATATGTTGTGTATCTAAGGCTCCGACATCACTGTGGTTGGGGCTAAGGTCCATAAGACCACTTTGTGGGGACGGTACTGGAGGTGTGCTTGTCTAATGTAATAGTGAGTAATCGTGGCCACTTGCTGGAGGAATTCCTCAAACACTCTAGGAGCGATTGTTGCCGACGGGTGTGGTGGTTCTCCGAATGATATCTCCTGGGGACCCGGATGGTCTCTGGTAGGGGGTTGGTTAGGAGCGGATAAGCTTGCTGGAAGATGTCCTGAACGTGTGTTAACCATGGCTTCTAATAGAGTTTTCCACAGACGGCGCCAATGATGCTACCAAAGATTCGTACTTAGATGAACTCGAATTGGATGGTTGAACTCCGTACGATCTGATCTTCAATACCTGAAACAAAGGCGTCGAGATGTGTCATCGTCGCCCCTCTGATGCTTAAGTCAGAAAGAGAAATTACACAAAATATTGTATGCTAGAATATTATTGAAAAATGTACCTGAATAATGAGGATAGGTCATGTACTTATAAATGTTGGAGGTTGAGTCCTAAAAGGACTTAACCAACTGTGGTACTTATCCTTGTTATACAAGGTGTTTGGGTTAAAATCGAATTTGTAATAAGTTGGGGGTTTGTATTCAGATAGGATTAGCATTCTTAGGAAACGTGCGATAAGGTCAAGAAGACATGTGAGTTAAGGTTAAGACCTGATCTCAGTACTCGACCCGACCTCAAGGCAAGACCCGACCTGATCATGAGCCCAATAATGATGGGTTCAGATCGGGCCCAATAGATCGAGTTCGGGCATGACAATTCCTATACGTATCAGCGACTAAAGTTATCGAATGAGAAAGCTCTTTTCAAAAGTAGTAGACAATGCAGTGCATCTGGTGCTATAGTCACGACAAAAGAACATATCTGAAGTTGCATAATAGGTAGCTTAGAACACATTTTTTTATTGATATCTTTTAATTTCATTACTAGTATTTTATGCAACTCACATTACACTTTTTATTTGGTAGGCCGAATGTGTTGGACAACTCATATCACCCTAGTGCGAATACGAGAAAACGCACGATGACTGAAAGATGGAACTTATATGAGTATTGCCAGTAACAATTATATAGTTGTGAATGTGTTTGTTAACAATGGCATTATGTAGACCACTTCATATCGGCGTTGATGTATTTTCGTAATTTCTTTTGTATTTTCATGTTTGAAGTTGTGATGGATGATTTAGGAGTTGTGTTTTCATGTTATGTATCAACAATTATATTTTTTTAGTAATTTGTGATGTAGTTGAGAACACTCAAATCACGTGGAAATAAAACCCCATATTGAAATCAAACACAACATACATACATAATCGAAATTCGAAGTAGCTTAAATAGTCAAACCACATAAAAACGAAATGACAAAACACCTAAAAAGTTATACAGAGACCCGACTTCGTTGTGTACACTTATCATACACGCTTCAGTGCAAAAAGTGCTACATTGTAAACCAAAAAAGGGACAAGTGAATAAATTTTCTCATCCATCGTATTGATCTTCTCCCATAACCTGATGACATTATGATTCAATTCATTCAATTGTCTAAGGTGTGTTTCGCATACTTCGAATTGGTGTCTCAATGTTGGTTGAACCTCATCATCCAATTGAACCTCTTGCACATGACACCATCCTAAAAATATAAATCAAATCAATCCACATGCACAATGCAACAATTGAACAACTATGACATCTCCAAAATCTATGATTAGGATTCCTTTCAGTATGTAGTGTATGTAACTGCATACATGCACTACATCTACAACACTGTCATGGTTGCAAATCATTGGTTGCATGAATAACAGAGATTACATATCTCCTAATCTCATGTCGTCCTGGTTGCCACACTAAGATACGAGTCGAACTTTGCCATTGCCTAAATCACAAACTTACAACAATTCAAATCAATACTTGTCATTACAACCCCTTCACTTGCCACTAATAGATCACAAAAATGAATAACAGAAAACCATCGACGGAAACTCCATCACAAGACCATCGATGAAAAGCTTTATCACAAAATCGTTGACGAATAGCAGTGCCCCAATTCACAATTCACCATAAAAAGGTAGAAAATAATGACATTGGCCAATATTTGGGCAAGAAAAATAATGTGAAATCCCAAAATCATCGTCGGAAAACACCATCCCAAAATCATCAACCAAAAAACTTGTCATCCCAAAATCATTTTCAAAGATCGCCATCTCAGAAATAAGGGCATTTTCCCAACTCGTTCAATATGTGGAAAGCGAAAAAGATTACATATCGTGGGAGACGGAGAAAAAGTTTGACAACAGTGACATGAAGGAAGTTTTCTGAAGACGATGAGGAGAGGGACGATGATGGTGACTATTGTTGATTTGGACATTAAAGCACGATGCGTTCGAAAGAAAGAAAGGAAAAAGTAATTTGACAATAAACGAATAGACAGAAAAAGAAAAGTGACAAGGATTAAAACAAAGAAAAATGTTGAGTGTACAACTTGGTGTACATTGAACATGATGCCCTCTTACAAGATGTACACCCTTGGTGCACACCCGGTCACGCAAGGTGTACACCCTTGGTGCTCACGTGTCACAACTCTAAAGCAAAAGCTAAGAAACAAAGAAAAAAAATTTGGCCCACTACTAACGTGGCATTGCCACCTGAGCAGTGGACATCGTATCTCCTGCCGGCCGTGGGCTGCAGGAGATCAACCCGACTCTATAAAATTGGGCCGTCAACTACAAGCTTCGATTCTATCCTTTATACCTTGCACGCAACGGTTGCCCCTTACTGCTTTCTCTCAAATTCTGTAAATGGGCACTCACAGAGTGAATCTGGCGGTGATCATCAAGAACCCATCAAACGATGAAGAATTTCTTCTCATCAAGCAAACCCCACCACCCAAATTCAACGATCCTGAATATGATTCTTACCAAGATTCTGACCTCTGGGATTTGCCTTTGACACTTTTGACTCCACTGGATTCTCCATTAAGTCAACATATTTCGGTTGGAGCTGAGGATTCATCTCTATTAGAAAACTTTGGTTTATTGAATCAGTTTGATCTTAAATTAGCTCTCGATCAGGTATCCTACTCAATTAAACTGGAAAAGAAATGAATTTCTAGTTTTACATTATTTTTTTAAAATCCAGCTAGAATGTGGAAATTGAAATGAGATTCTTGTAGTAACCTGGTTGCAATTGATAAAAATGGTCTGTCTTTCCCATTTCCCATGAAAGAAAATGTGATTACTAGCACAGCTCGTTCATCATACTTTACCTTGGCTTAGGAATTGCAGAGGTCCTGTTTAGTATTAAATCCCATTTCGAAATTAACTCTAATTACATGTTATGCTGAAATATGACAATATATTAATGTGTTGAGCGAAGGCAACCTAATTGTTAAGGTTCAACTCTACCTTTTAGTTTGAGCCTTAAAAAGAGTGGTTGGGGAGGGGAAGTTGCCCCCTTTAGTAGGTTCAAAATGATTGTCGATGTACTTACTAAGCAAGCTTGGATCATTCAAGTTCAGTTGAGCTGAATATGCTTGCTGCTCCCTCCTCGACAAGTTGAAATTTGAACACATTAGCTGTCAAAGTATTTATGAATTTGGCTAGTTTATGAAAATAAACAAGTGCAAGAAGAAGCTGGGATGAGCCCAATATCGAACACTTTTGAAAGTACATCTAGATCTCCATTTTAGGCAGGGTCCATATGTAATCTATTAAAGAAATCTGGTATTTCTTTACTGAAATTTCAAATGGTTAAATTGAATTTACTGTGACTTAATTAAAATAGGTTATCACATATTTTCCTTTTCCTTATGTGAAGGGAAAGAATGTGCTAATTATTAATCTCATATAATACTGACCATGTTTAAATTGATTATTTATAAATTGTACTTTCTTATCTGAAACAGACTGCCGATAAATGATGATGAAAGAACATTTTTTTGGCTGCCTGTATTGGTCTCGAGTCCACCGCGTTTTTCATTTCCTTTCCCTTGTCACACCAAAAAAATTTTGTCCTTATGATAATTGGATGGCTTTGATTGTATATCATGGTCGTTACCTCTTAGAAAATTTTGTTTGTATTAAGGAATAAAATCTCACGTCGAATAAAGATGAAAATATAGACCAACTTATAAGGATTTAGACTACTCCTCTCAATAAAGTTGACCTTTTAAGATGGAACCCCAAGTCTCAACATAGCATCAAAGCCCATTATACTTTAACGAGTAAATTCGATCCGATTACGACTCAAAAAATGAGTACACGAATTCCAAGATTTGTTTGCAAAAAAAGAGACACCATCTTGCAGTTTAATGAATAAAATTCCACATCGAATAAAGATGAAAACATAGACCAACTTATAAGGTTTGAATTACTCCTCTTAACAAGGTGGACCTTTTAAGATGGAACCCCAAATCTTAACAGTTTCTATTGCTGAATATTTTTATCTGATCATGTTACAAAAATTCTCGATTTTCATACTTGTTTTTCTTGTTTGTATATGTTGGAGTTAGTACCAATAGTAGTTATTGAGAATACATTACATGTCCTGAAAATCATATGTAGATAGTGTTGGTGTGTTATATTTATTTGTAATGACTTTGGTATAGGTGCTGAATCAAGTGGGATTTGGGACAGCCAGTGAGGTAAAGTGGAAGTTCTTGAAGTATGTAGAAGAGCCTGAATTTGGTCCTGGAATCCCTGTTAAGACTATGTATCTTGTTGGAAAATTGGGATTCCATGATGGGAAGTTAAAAGGTCTGATCGTGTTATTGTAGATACATTTGACAGCATTTTCTCGATATCAGGGATTCTAAGAGCGTAAATTTGAACGATTCCATGCACCATTTTGCTGGGGCTTATAAAGATAAACTCTTTTTTATTCTACATTTATTGAAAAAATATTTAAACTTTCTTTTGAATTGAGCTCATTCTTCATTTAATGACAAAATATAGCTCTTCGATTTCATTTAGACTCGTAAACAGAACTTTACTAAGAGCTTGTTTGGTAGGGATTTTTGGGAGAAAAATTGATTTTTGAATAGTGATATGATGGGAAATGTGTGGTTGAAAAAGAAGAAAATTTTTTTGATGTGATGGAAAATATTATTTTATTGAAAAATGTGTGGTTGAAAATGAGAATTGATTTACTGTAGAAAATCAAAATCCATACCAAACACGCTCATAAAGATATTCTGATAAAAAAAATTATATAATACGACATTTTAATTAAAAAGTAATATTTTAATGCAATTCATAATCAATACAAAAAAAAAAAAAAAAGTAAGAGAAAAAAGTTAAACTAAAATATCACCATGGCCCTATCTGAATGAAACAATAAATAATGAGTAAAACCACACAAAAATTAGAATGAAAAGCTTCTAATTTAGAAAGTGACAAATGACATGTATATTTTGTTTAATAATTAAAAATATCACTATTTAAC